ATGTTCAACTTGAAAATTCTCTTCTCCTTAACAAATGCTTACGGTAAGTCTATCAAGGTTGATAGTCCTACGTTTGTTGTCACCAGACTCTCTGTGACTTGTGTGTTAGTTGAGAGGGATATCACTCAACCAGCTCCGGATGAGGTATGGATTGGAACCACCCACAACGGTTTTGGCAAAAACTTGAAATTGAACCACACCCTCCTTATTGCTCTCATTGCAGTATATTTGGTCACAGTTCTACTATTTGGTATCGCTTGCATCCTCATCTAAGATTGAAACTCGCTAAAGATTAGTCACCTATCATCCCTGTTGAGAAGATGCAACTCGGTCCTCTTTCCAACACCGCAGTTCCTGACGAAGTATACCATACTATAGCTACAGATCCAGTCGTGTTTATACCACCCATTATTATTAAAGAGGACTCACTTACATGCCAAGACACACGCGAGTACTCCTTTGATTCAATACATTTGATTCAATACAAAATCCAAAATCAGCTTGTACAACATGTATTTGCTTCTAATGTTCAACAACCTACACATGTCCGACACACTTTAGATCAATCTACTGATCAGGTGAGTCAATCTTCAGATGAAGAATGACAGATCTATTCCAGGAGAAAGAAGAAAAATGGAGGCCAACTCGAGCTTGGAAACTTATTGGATGATACATTGGTTACTACTGTCAAAGACACTCATCTTACCAATTTATTAGTTAGCTCCTTCCCTAGAACTAGAGAGAGGTAAGGCCAAATTGGGTCGCTCTTTAGCCACCTGATACTATGTACTTCGACAATTTTAGACTTTTTCTTTAAGTCTCTGATGTACTTTACTGCATTTTCTAGTTTTGGAACCATTTATGGTTATTGTGTGGGCAGGGTGTCATGTTTAAGTCCTCTCACACATTGTATTTGCATATTTTTTTCTATTTAATATATTAGCCTTTGGGCTTTCTAATATGTGTGTGTGTGTGTGTTATTTTTTATTTTAGGGTTTTCTTTGATATTTATTTTTTGGACAGCCTCGGACATCAAGAAAGTGCTTCGGCTATAGCTCGTCCCAATGTGGTTTGTATCTTTCCTTTTATTGCTTGTTGTTGCCCTCCCCTACTGGTTGCCATCCCCTGGCCTCCTCCTTGTTGTTGCACACCTTTCCTCTCCCATATTCTGCTAACTGTTGCAACTCCCCTCCCCATAACAGCCTTCCTCATAGTTGTCAATCTCTTCCCTACCCTCCACAACTACAGCCTGCCAACCTACCATACAGCAACCTCTATTGAAGCTATATTGCACCTCCCCCTCCCCTTCCTACCCATGGCCATCTACAAACCTGCTACCAACTACAACCACAACCACAACCCCTCTCCCTCTTGTTGCTCCAATCGCAACCCCGCAGAACTGCTTTTCCTCTTCTAGCTTGCTGCCACCTATCCTAGATCCTCTCACCGCTGCCCATTGGTT